TGTGTGTGTGTGTGTGTGTGTGTGTGTGTGTGTGTGTGTGTAGCAGAGGTCTATAAAGTACTTGAAAAAAATACCTAAGTAAAAGTAAAAATACCTTAACAGAAAATGACTTTGGTAAAAATAAATGTCACTGATGAGAAAACTACTTAAGTAAAAGTCATAAAACTGTTCACAAAAATTGGGAAAGTAGAAGTAAAAGTACCTTTTCACGCTCTTTAACAAATAAACTGTTAAATTTACAGAAGCAAACTGGCTCCACAAAACCAAGTTGATTAAATTGGTCAATTTCTTTCAAATAAAATATGTAAATCGCCTCAAATTTACTCTACAAGTGGAAATAGTTGATAAGATTTAGTTGAGTAAATTCAACACTTACTTTTTTTAAAGCACATAAACAACTCCTTTCATGATGTGTTCAGACAGATTTAATTTATAACAAGTAACTAGGTGTTAAACTTTAAAGTAAAGAAGTAAAAGTATCATGTTTAGGTTTTAAAAGCAACTACGTAAAAGTAAAAACCACAATTTAAAAAAATACTTGGTAAAATTACAAATCCTCAAAAATGACTCACAGTAAGTACTGTAGTTACTATAAACTTCTGGTTTCTACGACAGTTCACAACTTTCTACGTGCTTGTGAGGAGAACCTTGATGATCCTTAGAATTATCAGTTTGTTTTATTTCTGCCACCCTCCAAATGTTGTTTTTTTCATGCATTTCAACCTGTATTGCTCAGTTTTCAACTCTGCATGTTTTCTCTGTGTAGCRCTTATTACCTCGACTGAAGAGAACTTTCCCCATAACTATTTTTGATGATGGTGTTTCGCTCTGACCTTCTGGTTTGGTGCAAATTAAAAAAAAATTCTCTCTTATTTGCCAAAGGTTCTGAAATAAAATCAATCTTGCTGTGTTTCCACTGAACTGCAGATGGTGGGAGCAGAGTGTGTAACAGGAAAGATGGGAGTTTTCATTTCTTTTTCTCTCTTTTCCTAAATTGACACCCATTTACTTTTTATAGCACAAATGCAGCTACATGAAGATGTGCAGTGTGCGATAATTACAGCTACAGAAGGAAGTGAAACTAAGATGAGACTAAAAGAAGCCGTACACGATGACAGGCATGCAGGGTTTTTAAAAGTGCTAAACATAATTGTTGTTTTCTGATAATTACATACTTTACTTTCAGGTTTGATTAGATTTTTTTTTTTTTTTGCTTTTCTTTTGTCTCTTCAGCAACCAAAATCCCTTTAACTGCACTTTATCTCTGTTTTAATGATGCATCTCCTCGCTCCAGGTTGACAAAATACAGTAATTTGTTTCGTTTCCACCTGGTGATTCTGCTCAGCACACTCACACATTTTTGTTATTTATTAGGCCAGATTACCTTCAGTAACTATGTTTTCCAGATTTGTGATTTTGTATTCCTGCAACCTAAAGCGATAGTGTGAATATTTTTTGGTTTGAGGTTCTGTGGAAAGCTATGAATTATTAATATTTTATCTGTTGTAGACGGCTTTAGCGTAGGGATGGGCAACTGGTGGCCTGCAGCCCGCATCAGGTTCAAGGGTGACTTTGATTTGTCCTGCCAAAAAACTTTTTTTTAATTAAAGAAAAAAACCCTCAAAGCAGCTCTTAGATTAATTTTTGAAAAGTTTTATGTTTTGAACGTATTCTGTTTTTGTTTAACTGAAAATGAATAAACTAAACTTAACAAAAAAAAACTAAAGTTTCCGTGGCACACATCTCTACTTGTGAGGACGAGACGTTTAGCCGTGGCTAATAACAGAGGAAAGAAAACTGGACACAATGGCTGTGTCCAAAAC